CTTAACTCTTTTAGGATATGCAGTAATCCTGCTGAGGCATCTTTTCACCTCTTTCAGAGTTGTTAAGTTTCTTCTCTCATGTTCTTATGCAGGGTAGGGGGCTGCAGGAGTTTGAAGATGTACTGGGAATGTGATAACGTGCACGATGTTCATGGTTTTAAAAACAGAGCTCATCTCTTTAAATAGGATTCAGCAACATTGGTTTAGATTGTCATGATTATACTTGCTTTTCACTTTAGAGCAAGACTCGCCGTTACTCCCTGAGTGGAATGGAGATTTCTTCCCACCAGTTTCACCTCCTCGAGCAGCTGAACGAACAACGGAAGCAAGACTTATTCTGTGACTGCAATATCCTGGTGGAGGGAAAGGTTTTTAAAGCACATCGCAATGTGCTGTTTGCCCGCAGCGGCTATTTCAAAATGCTCCTTTCGCAGAGCTCGAAGGAGGCGAGTCAGCTTACGACAGCCACTTTTGAGGTCTTCTCTCCAGAGACATTTATGGTTATCCTGGACTTCGTGTATTCAGGCATATTGTCTTTAACCGGTCAAAATGTGATCGAAGTAATGTCAGCTGCTAGCTATCTGCAGATGACAGATATTCTTAATGTCTGCAAGACATTCATTAAGTCCTCACTTGATATTAATGAAAAGGAAAAGGATCATTACCTCAGCCTTTCGGCCAAAAGTACAAACAGTGAACCTGCCCATCCATCTCTTTATCGGTCGAGAAGGAAAGCAAAGAGCAACCCCAGGCGTTCCTATTCCATTCCGGACGAAAAGACTAATACAGTGAATGAAAATTCCTGGAGTGGTTACGGCAGCTATCTGTCCTCACAGGTGATTCTTCAGCGGGCAGAAACACAGCTATCAAAAAGAGGCAGAAAACAGGGCTCAGCGAGAAGGCGCCGAAAGCACCTCGGGCTGTCACAGACCCGTGATTTTGTGCAGTGTAAATCGAGCAAAGCCGAGCGGGCCAGCGGAGGCTGCAGCGCTTTAGATTCCAGCCACATCTCTCGGGTTAGAGAGGAGGTTGAATTTGATGCCGAGAATGATGTTGATCACGATGATTACGGATATAATCACGAATCAGAAGTGATACCGAAGAGGTGGTCTGTTGCTCAGCTAGAACAAGAACTTTCAAGAACTCCTGAGTTCATGGAATTAAAAGCAGAGGAACTGTATACCTCAATGCCCACGATTTTAGGTGTAATGAGTAGTTGGAACGAAGGTAAAAAATACATACGGTTTTGCAAAGTTTATCTTTATTTGGAAGAATTCAGATGATCTTTCCGAAAGAATTTGTATGGCTGCATGAAAACCAAAATGATGCCTAGAGCGGGAGATTATTTTCTTGATCTAGTCAATTATAGTGGAACTGTATACCTCAATGCCCACGATTTTAGGTGTAATGAGTAGTTGGAACGAAGGTAAAAAATACATACGGTTTTGCAAAGTTTGTCTTTATTTGGAAGAATTCAGATCTTTCCGAGAGAATTTGTATGGCTGCATGAAAACCAAAATGATGCCTAGAGCGGGAGATTATTTTCTTGATCTAGTCAATTATAGTGCGTAACAGAATGAGAGACACTGAAGCCAGAACAGGGCATGACAATTAGAATCAGAGAGCTTGACTCAGGTATTCTGTAAAGTTAAAACAATACATGCCAGATTATTTGGACCCAAGTGGAGTTTAATGAAGCCTCAAGAGCTGTAATTGACTGGGGGACCTGAAGAACTGAATTTCTCTTGTAATGTCTCCAATACCTGGCAGTAATAGAGGCATTCAACCTAAATCCAACCCAAGTCCTTCACTAGAGAAGCTCCTATCATTGGCGGGACACTGCATTTCCCTTAAGGTCCAAACCAGCCCAAACTTCATGAGTGTGTGGCCACACTCCATAAAACAGCTAAGCTCTTGATGGACTGACAGCATGTGCCTGAGATGGTGGAATAAAGCTGACACGTGTATTCTTATGTGTATTCCTTTGGAAACTAATGTACCTATATTTTATTATAGTTGCATATTTTTAAGACTTTGGGCATCCTAGTATATTACATAGAGATTATAAATGTCAAAGCTATGAAGTATTAGCTGATGGAAGAGGCAGATACGATGACTATATATTGTAGCTATGTGTTTATGATCATCTGTGTGTCTAAGAAATACCCTGAGTAAGAAAGAATACGCCCGTTTAACACATTCAAAAAGAAATATTGGTTTTGGGGGATTGTATTTCGGGATTTTTCCTGTTTAGTGACAGAGCAGAGGAAAAATGAACTGCTGCTTACTTAAGCTGAAAAATAATCAAACTACTATATAAAGAAAGACTACTGATATTTGACATTTTACCTGTATTTCTCTGTAACAGATGACTTACCTCGGATGCGATTCAAATGCCCCTTCTGTACGCACACGGTGAAACGACGTGCAGACCTGAAGCGACATCTTCGGTGTCACACAGGGGAGCGACCGTACCCATGCGAAGCGTGTGGGAAAAGGTTCACCCGACTAGAGCATTTACGTAACCACTTCCAAACGGTACGCCATTTCAGCCGGAGAATCAGCCTAGGAAAAAACCGCAAGATGTCATTGGTACCAGCTGTTCAGCCATTTCCAGAACTAATACCAGAAAAGCTTCCTAGCTGCACATCAATTTTAATTATTCATTATTTAAATTGGCAAATTATATTTTTAATTTCATTTTTTAGAATCATTCAGTGAATTTTCTTTTTCTAAAAAAAACCAAATAAATTTTAAAAATCTGCTTTTCGATGAACACTGACATTTTCAAATTTTAAATCTCTTTAGATACATCAAGCTGGCAAACTGATCTGCAGAAAATGCAAGCGACATGTAACTGACCTAACAGGATGTGTTGTTCAGCAAGGAACAAGACGCTACAGACTGTGCCATAAGTGTCTAGCAGAAGCTAATTTTGACAGCATCCCTGACGATTTAGATGCAGAACATTCTCCTGTCTCCTCCACGGGAAACAAACGTTCCAAATGGGCTTTGGAGGAGGAGCAGAAATCAGATGAAGAGACAGCGGAGGAGGAGCCGTATAACTTGGTTGTCCGACACGTTAATGACGGTATTCCAGATGAGGTAGATGAAAAGGTGAAACCAAATCTTAGGTAGATACATTTGTGTATTTGTTACTGTGTATTCAAGATTAAATTACTTGTGTCCTACCAACTAATGCTGGTTTATTACTTTCATTAAAATTAAATATTGCTAAAATTCTATTATGAGAAGCAAAATATGGACTACAAACAAGTTTTTTTTTACTTACAGACATGCAACAGTGTAACTACTTCTAAATATCATCCAGAAAGTACTTATGATCTGGAAACTTTTTAGAAGAATTGGTTTATATTTCATCAAAGACTTGCTCAGACCTCCTGTTCATCATGAAAGTGTGAACAATTTTACAGTTCTACAAAGATTCTATACTATATAGATTTTTAAAACACAAATATTGATAATTTGCTTTGAAAAAGTCTTACTAAAGTAAGCAGCTAAGAAATGTAAACTACTTTTTTGTTGACACTGTAATTAACATGTATATACACTTCAGAAACTTCATAAGAAAGGAGTAAAGAAAACAAGTGGAATTCTTCCTGCTAAAAAATTTACAAGAGTTTTCTGAGTGAGTTTACTGCTTCTTATAGTTCAGAAAAGCATGAATAGTTTTAAAGAATGCACACAGCCATACAGAGTAGAACAATGAACAGAGCATCTGTAGTGCACTTGGATAGTATGAGTTTGCCTTTTCAGATATGCCGTGTTTTTGTACTGTGAATTTTAAACAAAGATACACTAACATGGTTCCAAGGAAATAAAAGTGCAATCACTGAAAGTACAGTTGTCAGGTTTTTTCCATTTTTTTTCCAGGACTGGTGCAAGATTTGCTTAAACTCCTGTCTATCTTATGCTAAGATAATAAAGAGGACAAGTCCCTTTAATTTCAGTGGGACACTTGTGACTTAGATCATGGAGCTACTTTAGAAAGGCTTTCCTGCTTGTATAAATTTAGGATGCTTAAAGCTGCTTGACAGCATTTCCCTTAGAGTTTAAGCAACCTTTGTAATTCTGGAGTCTCTTCAGCTTTTTTAATAATCATATTTTCTTCCATGTCATTTGGGTCAGAGAACCTCTGCTTGCTACAGAAACTGAAAATGCTCAGTACTAAAATGATGAAAAAAAATCTCAGTGAGAGTGTATAGAAGAAACATTCTGACTGAGAGCAGAGAATGGCATTCACAGTAGAGCCACTGTTTGGTCTCATGTCTCATTTTATGCTATGTTTCCTTTCCAGTTAGCACAATCTGTAGCCTGAGGTTACTGCCAAGCAAGCAAAAATTCCCTGTAGAGAATTTGAGAACAGCCATATTGATTCACATCAAGGTTCTCCCTGTCTCCAAGTATCCATTAACAGACACCTAGGGAAAAGTGAGAACAGGGCAAGCCTGTATAATGATTCCCTAACGCTCTCCCAAACTCCAGCCTTTTTCAGTTTAGGGGATTTTCTTAACTTGGGATTTGTACATTTAGTAACCACCAATGCACGACTTTTCCAAGTACTTCTCCACTCTACCCTTAAAACTCATCTAAACTTCTTGCATCAATACTAAGTATCCTTTGGCAAATGCCTCCACAAGTCTAGTGTGCCCTGTGAGTCCCATCTCCTTTGAATCTGGCTTCTAGAACAGCTGCTACCGCATCTAGCTGATCCCACAGAGATGCACACAAACTCACTACAGCGCTTGCTCAACTAACAGCAAGAAAAGGAAGGTTTGCAGTTTAAACATGTTTTTGAATTAACCACTTCCATGTAGTTAATTGTTTTAGCAAGCCCCAGCTCAGTGAGAGACCACAGCCGCAATGGGGCTCCTGTAACACAGTGGGAGAACAGAACTTCTTCCAGCAAACACGCTGCTAGCTGAGACCTGTCACTCCCACAGCTGTGGAAATGGAACAAGGTGAATTTAAGGCCTGTTGTATTGTAAGTACTTAATAAATAATGAAAAAAAAAAAAGATGACTAACACTTACTTAGTTAATTCCAAATGTTTTTCTAGCAAGTTCCTGTCACCATTTCTAAAAGTACAGCCGTTTACTGTGTTACTACAGCCTGTGACTGATGGTATACACAGCGCATCTCAGCACTTCTACAAAGTTAAATTTCAACTGCACAAATTTCTTTTCTTCCAATTTAGAGGGCTGGGCAGAAGGAAAGGAC